TATATATATATATATATATTCAATGTTAAACGCCCATTAACATTACACCCATTTAGGGTCCACAACCTTAATATGTAAAACTAGCTACTCATACTAGAATACAAAAAACAATGCCTTCAATGTAGTCCCTTTTTCAGACTTAATGCCCCACAAAAACCCTAGTAAATCTATGTATAGTGGACTAAAAGTCAGGGTCAAGATTGGACAAAAGTGCCCCTGCAGAGCTCTTATGCGACCACATAATCGTCGCAGACTATGTATGCGGTCCGCAGAGTTGACAATTGGGTCGCAGAATCTCAGATCCTCTAGCCTAGGTTCCACAACATTTCCATTATGCGGTCCGCATATCAGTTATGCGACCGCATTTTTCATTGCAAAAGTGCTATGCCGGTTCTTCAATTTCAGTTGTACGGTCATTATGCGGTTTGCAAAAGTGTTATACGACCTTATAATGGACCGCATATTCTTCTCTTTAGTTGGTCAAAACAGCTGCTTCAGTTTGCGGTGATTATGCGATCCGCATAGTACTTCTGCGGTCGCATACTTGTAGCATTCCTGCTCTTTTGTGGCTTTTTGAATTCTTTTCCATGTGTTTGGGTCTTCAAGTCTCATGCACTACAAAACACCAAAACATCATAAGAATCAACTACAAATGCATTGAAAGACGAGCTAAAGTCTATGTAATTGGTATCAAAAGAGCCGAAATTCTACGGCACATCAACACCACCAACTTAAACTCTTGCTTGTCCTCAAGCAACTAAAACAGTGTTGTCCTATCCTATACTATTTCAATTTCCGACATGTCACAAAATAGTAGTGACTGCAAATGGTTTTTACTGACAGCTAACAGGCATGTAACTTCTTTTATTTACCCTTCATGGAGGACAACTACCATTTAACAATTCGACTAATCAACTTGTGAACTTCGAGCCTCAACCAAAATGACAAAATGTTACTCACAACTAAGTGTGCACTTGTATTCTACTTCAGGAACCTAACTTCTGCTAAATCTTGCAATTCATGTGCACTCACAACAAAGAAAATCCCCAACTCACACATATGTACGGGGGATGCAATCAAAACACTCATGCACTCGGAACGAAAGCTACACGCTACAAGTATCAGTCTATATGCTTGCCCTTATTTTAACTTGCTGCTATCTCAGCAATGATTGACTGTAAAACACTAAGGACTTTTCACGGGTTATAATGTAGGCTTCGGGACGGGTTGGATGAATATTTGGGAATGTAGTGGCTATACCCTCCTTGAACTCTACATACATTTTTATGCTTGACTACATAGCACTTATTGACCTTGAGTTACCGACATAGAACCACCTCAAAGTATTTCTTCAATTTCCACAAGACTCCACTCTTTTTCTCTTTTTCTCTATTTTTTTTATCAACTTTTTTTACAATTGCTTTTCTTTTTGGAGCTTGAGTTTCGTTATATACACAACTTTGACGTTATTGTTTTTTTTCAATGTACGGTCATTATGCGGTTTGCAAAAGTGTTATACAACCTTATAATGGACTGCATATTCTTCTCCTTAGTTGGTCAAAACAGCTGCTTTAGTTTGCGGTGATTATGCGATCAGCATAGTACTTCTACGGTCGCATACTTGTAGCATTCTTGCTCTTTTGTGAATTTTTGACTTCTTTTCCATGTGTTTGGGTCTTCAAGTCTCATGCACTACAAAAAACCAAAATATTATAAGAATCAACTACAAATACATTGAAAGACGAGCTAAAGTCTATTACATACATGTTGAACTCAAACAGTTATATAGAAAGAAGCTAATTTGTAGTGTCGATTTATATAGCATGTAGGTTAGCACCAAAGATGAAAAAGAAAAAATAACAACCCATGATAGGTAAAGGTAACTTGCTACAACTCTACAACTCGAAAAAACTCAGTGATTTAGAGAGGCATTGTTAATTATGATTAACTTGTAAATTGAGTTAAAGTGTGCATGGATGCCACCACCTCCTTAAACATAAGGATGGTTGGCACTTTGCTTCCACCCTCTCATAATCCCACGTGGATTATTTCCCCCTAATAATTATCCAACTCTCACTTAAATAATTATCCATATGATTTAGCTTAAATTACTTAAAATACTACTTATTTTTAACACACTTTATATAACTTACTATCATGGTCATGTAGTACCATATAAAATCAATGCAAGCACTATTATTTCATTAAATCATCCATGTAAAAAAATACATATATTTTCTCAATTTCTAATTTTCCTAATCTCATATAAAGAGTAAAAAATTTCGTACGCTTAATTCTTAAAATGGTAAAAATATAACCTTCTTTTCTTGTGAGAAAATAATTTCTATCTTTACAATAAATAAAATCTCATAAACTTTCTTACATTATGAGTATAATTTACCACTGTAATAATGGTAACTATCCAAAATTATACTTATAAAAATTTTACTAAAATACTTTACTTAAAAGAAAATACCATACTAACATAATATCTAACGGTATTAAGGTTGTTAAACTTTCGGGGTCTTAATCCTTACAACCTCATATGGATTACTATGACTTATCCTAATATTAAAGTACGGGGTGTAACAAATAAGATGTGGCCACCTTGTGCATTACGCTATACTTTTCAAGCAGCCCGGTCAAAGCCTTGCTGCAAAAGTGAGAACCACCATCACTAAGGATGGCACTGGGGTACCAAACTACGTGAATATGTTTTTCTTCAAGAATGCCGTCACACTCCTTGCTTCATTTTTTGGCAAGGCGATTGCCTCGATCCACTTGGAGACGTAGTCCACAGCCACCAAGATGTATGTCATGCCATAAGAGCTCACGAAAGGGCCCATGAAGTCTATCCCCCACACATCAAAGATCTCGACCTCCATCACAAAATTCATAGGCATATCATGTCTTTTAGATATTGACCCTTGTCTTTGACCTTGATCGCATGCCTTGACCATTTGATTTGCGTCTTGGTAGATTGATGGCAAACAGTAGCCACATTCAAGCACTTTTGCCACCGTCCTGTTTCCTCCATGATGACCCCCAACCGGTGAATCATGGCATGCCTTGAGAATTTGCATTACCTCATCTCCCGGAACACACCGCCGAATGATGTTGTCGGCACAAATACAGAACTAGAAGGGTTCCTCCCAATAGTATTGCCTACACTCTCGCAAGAACTTTTTCTTTTGATAAGTCTCCAATCCATCGAGAACAAGGTCACTAACCAAAAAGTTAGCGATGTCGGCATACCAAGGAGCGAATTTTCTAGACAATGCCAATATGTGCTCATTTGGAAAGGCATCATTGATTTTAAGGTCTTCTTTTTGTCTCCCTGCCTCTTGAAGCCTAGATAGGTGATCCACAACTTGATTTTCTGTCCCTTTCCGGTCCTTGACTATAAAGTCAAACTCCTGCAACAAAAGGACACATTGAATCAATCTTGGTTTGGCATCCTTCTTTGCCATAAGATAGCGAAGAGCATCATGATCGGTGTAAACTATCACTTTGGACCCCAAAAAATAAGCCCGAAATTTTTCAAAAGCATAGACAATGGCAAGAAGTTCTTGCTCAGTCACAGTGTAATTCATTTGAGCGCCATTAAGTGTCTTGCTTGCATAGTAGATAGAGTGAAGGATTTTATTATGCCATTGATCAAGCACCGCCCCAATAGCTACACCACTAGCAACACACATGAGTTCAAATGGAAAGGACCAATCGGGTGTGACAATAATAGGTAACGTGGTGAGCTTTTCTTTCAATTGCTCAATTGCTTTGAGACACTTCTCATCAAATATAAACTTTGCATCTTTTTCAAGGAGCTTGCACATAGGATTTGCAATTTTTGAACAGTCCTTGATAAAACGCCAATAGAAGTCGGCGTGCCCCAAAAAGCTTCGGACACCTTTTACTAAAGTGGGTGGAGGAAGCTTGAAAATATTTCGATCTTTGCACGGTCAACCTCTATGCCTTGTTTGGAAATTTTGTTGCCCAAAACAATGTCCTCGTCCACCATAAAGTGGCATTTCTCCCAGTTTAGCACAAGGTTTGTTTCTTCACATCTTTTGAGCACTTGTGTAAGCTTGTCAAGACAATTCTCAAAGGAATCACCCACTACAGAGAAGTCATCCATAAACACTTCTAATAAACCTTCCACCATGTCCGAGAAGATTGACATGATGCACCGTTGGAAAGTAGCCGGGGCGTTGCAAAGCCCAAATGGCATACAGCTGTTGATAGCCAATTTTTCCCTATATATATTTTAATATGAAAAGTACCCTCAAAACAGCATATATATATGCATATAAAATGTATGTCAAAGCGTCTCATTATTTTTCCTTAATTTTTAAAGGTTTTTAAATCAATTTATTTCCCTATTTTTATCCATAAAAATCCAATAATTATTTCTAAAATTATCATTTTTGGTGATTCACCTGCTAAAACTTTACATTTATGCTAAATATATCTAAGGGAATTTTTGCATATTTTTTACAAAATCATTTAGTATTTTTAAGGCTAAATTGTATAATTGCAACATTAGCCTCTTTTAGGATTTAATTGCGTTTATGTTCATAAAGATTAAGTCCAGTGTTTTTAAATGGTTAATTATATGTCATAAATCATCTTAGTACTTTTAATGTATTTCCCGAAATCAGTTTACTATTTTTTATAATTTTAATAGAGGAAAATTGGCTATTTAAATGACAGCCAGTTACATTTAAATTATAGCTCAAAATTGACCCCAATTTGAACCCAATTTTCCTTGGCCCAATTCCTTTTAAATCCGACCCCTTACCCGTTTAAACAACCCAACCCGGTCTCCCATCTAACCATTTCAATCCCGGCCGTTGATCATTTAGATCAACGGCTCCCGTTCCCCCTTACCTTAATTAATCCCAAACGACCCCAATACCCTATCATTTCTCACCTACTGCTGCCCTTGAACCCCTTTCCTCTCAAACCCTCTCTGTAACACCACCTAAACCCTAGCCGCTGCCACCCTAATCCACCCTAATACCTACCTAATCTATGGCCTTCTATGGTCATTTGAGGCCTGTACCGGCCTTCCATAGCTCCTATGTGTTTGATTCTATGGTTTCATGACCAGAACTCGAAAGGATTTGGTCCAGTCCTTGCTCGATGACCTTTCTCCGATCATCCCTGACTTTTCTCCGGCCAGCCATGGCCATTCGAGTCAGATAATTGACTCTCCTGGTTATATCGGTAACTTTCAAGGCATTTCTCGTTTCTTTTGGGTTTTCTGAAACCCTAATCTCTAAGATCTTTCTATTTCTTTCAGATCTGCTTTAGATCTGTACTCGTTATGACTTTCTTGAGTGTTTCTTGAAGGTTCTTTAACTTTCCTTCAGAAACGACCCTTCATCTCGTCCGATTAGGGTTTTTCCTCTAAATTTTCTTTTCAAAGATCTCTAATTTTAACGTATTTCTGATTTTTTTTTATGGTTTTATTCATATTATTCTTCTATCTGAGTTAGTATGTTAAAACCCTGATTTCTTTTGGGTCTCATTTGAATCCTGAAGCTGTTTGTTTAATGTGTACTTGTTTAACTAAGTTCCTCGTTCTTGTTTGACTTATTTGTGTTATCATTTTTTTTAAAACTCGATTGTTGTTGAAAAGCCCTAGGTCTTTGGGTCTGAAATTGTTCGTTTGAGTACTTGACTCAACTGAAAGCTTTTGTTTTAGACTTTCTTTTCTTTATGTGACTTATCTGATTTTACTATCTTTCAACTCGACTATGGCTGAAAACCTAATTTTTCAAAACGTTTCCTCACCTGCTACTGTGAGACCTTTGCATGTTTCTGATACTTTATTTTCTGCACTATTGATTCAATGTGATTTGACCTATTTGATTACTGTGTTTCGAATGTTTGCTTTACTATTGAACCCTAGCTTATTTCTGCCACTACTGCCTGTTTGTCATTTTGTCAATGAGTTTGGCCTCGCATGTCTGATGACCTTGTTCACTTTATTTATATGCTGAAGTTTCTTCCTTGATTGATCTTCATCTTGTGACTGATTTCTAAAGTTTCCCTTTATGAACCCTGATTTCATCGTCCGTTCAAATTGATTGATTCTTTCCCCATTACTATGATATTTGCCTTACTGAATCTTTTCCAAAATAAGCATATTTCTGTACTTAGACTTGACTACTTACTTAATGCTTGTACTACTTCTTTTATGGCAATAATCAGTCCGTCTCTAAACTGATCTCTTTCCTTATTTGAATCTATTAGACAGTGATTCCTTAATTAAAGGGAATCACTTGTATAATTGATTCTGACTGTTGATTGTTTCTATATTTGTATTAAAACTTTACTTATTACCTTCCTTCACTCGTTTTCAAAAAGGCTATAAATACCCTGCATCCCTCTTCTTTCAAACACACGAACACAAGGAACGAAACACTTGAGTTCAGAACACACACCTCACTAAAAACTCTCTCTCTTTTCTCTGTTACTACTTGTGTTGCTGCCTTGTCTAGCCGGCTGAAAGCCAAGGCTAGGCTGTGGGGAATTTGCTTACTTTTCTTTCTGCATTTGCTTCTTTACTGGTATGTTCTAATTAATTTTCCAGCATCAACAACAACATGTTTCCTTACTATTTCCCTCACTCTTGCCTGTTTCCTGCTTGTGTTTAATCAAGTTCCATTACTGAGCATACTGTAATCTGCCCCTTTCTCTTCTGAATTACTACTTTCCTTATGTAGGAACTTTGTCAGTCACTTATTATGACTTATGAACCCCAAACCCCCATATCCCCTATGTGTTTGTATTCCTTGGTTGGTTTGGGGGCATGTCAGCATTAGACATTGCTGTGCATGACCCCAAACCTGACCCCTCCTTAAGGTCATATGCTTCATACCCCTCTATGTGTTGTGTTCTCAGGCTGGTATATGGGCATGCCAGCACCATCTATTGCTGTACATGCCCAAACCTGGCCCCTTCCTAAGGTCATATACTCCCTGCAATGAATTCTCAAACCCCTGACCCCTTTGTATGAAAGTGCTAATTCTGTGTAATGTTAGCTGTACTACTACTATTTTCCAATCACTCTTACCCATCTCTATTCTCCGCTTAGTTTTAAATCTCTGTTCCTGCACTTCCACTATATTCGTAGACTTAGGTTCTACCCCTCTTGTGTGAGCCTTGCCTTGGGACCCATGAGCTCTCTCTGAACTTGGACACATAAGCACACTTCACTCATCTCTATCTGGTTATGCAAACTTGGGTGTAAGCACTGCCCGGGGTCCCTTGAGACCCTTAGCGAACTTTGACGCACCCAGGTCTGAGAAAGGCTTTGAAACAAGTTGACATTTGAGGTGTTTTGTTCCATAACTCAGAAAGGAAGTCAGAATCAAGTTGTAACTTCTTCCTTTTTCTACATTTTTTGACGTAATTCATTATTTTGGTCTGTAATAATTTGTAATAAACATTTGGGGTTGGTTAGTGAAAAAGGGCTGGGTAATTGTGCATGCTTAACTATTAGAAGGGTAGAGATCATGCCTTTAGGACTTGTTTTTTTTATGATTAACTCAGTATTTAGGTAATATGCCTATAGGACTTGTCTATAAAGTTTGCATGTTTAACTCTGCATTTAGAGAACCTGTCTATAAGACCTATTTTAAATTCTGCGTTTAGACAACATGCCTATATGATTTGTCTTAAGTTCTGCATGTTTATTACCGCACTTCGACGCCATATTCTTAGGATCCTATTGGTTATAATCCGACATCTAAAATCAGTACCTTTTCATAGAAATCATGCCTATAGGAATTTCAAGTAAATCCTGTCTGCTTCATTTCACGTTCAACTAGATATCATGTCTATAGAAATTAAAATAAGCAATAATAGATATCATGTCTATAGGATTTAAAATCAGCAATGATAGATGTCATCGTCTGAAACCAGTCTAGTCTAAAATCAGCCTAACTCTCACTATTCTGAACTAATTTTCAACAACTCTCTCCCTTCCTATTAATACGGTTTAGAAATCATGTTTATAGGATCTCAAATCGTTTATTCTAGAATTTGTTACTGCTTTGGCCCATTCTCAATTGGT